CAGATTGTCTTTCACACTGATGCATCAGAAGGAGCTATATTAAAATGCGCAAGACATAACAATCAAGAGTTGCCTCCTTGTTCATTCATTCTCTCTGGGCAAGGGACTCTGTCTTTTCTGAAGCAGTCTGCATTCTGTCTTGGCCAGCCATCTTTGTTTCTGTATTTGGTTCCTGAGGGCACATTTGTCCAGCTTGTTGGGTCTCACCCAACTTTGCAACAACTCTCCCACCCACCTCTGGTCTCGGCCACAAGCAGTTCCTTCTTGTTGCCCCAGGGCTGAGCAGTGTGGGTGGGAAGAATCGGTTAGGACAGTCGTGTGTCCATGGCTGGCTGCTCCGGGCCCTGTTCTGTGTCACACCTGATCAGATTCTTGAGACATTTTGCCCGAGGGACTGGGTCTGGTTAAAATTAACTGTCTAGAACACTGGGGACTATCCATGAGAAAAATTGTGAAAGAAAAATAGAAAAAAAGAGAGCTGTTCTTGCAAAGATGAAGGAAAGCAGAACAGGAAATGGATGAAAGTTGAGGCAAAGGCTCAGTTCTTATTACAGCCAAATTGGGGCACATCGAGCTGCATCTGAGTGTCTCATGACTGGCGCTTTACAAGCTGCTCGCTGGTAACTGCTATTTATTTCACAACTTTGAATTTATGGATGCTCATGAGGGAAGAGTACAGCATCTCTTGCGAGACTCCCCCATGAAGCCCATGGTGCTGTTCCTATGATTGTAGCCTGCACCCAGGCATCCTGATGTATTTTACATGGAGTGCAGTTGCACCCTTACTGCGGCCTGCAGACAAGTCCTTCTCCTGCTATGTGGAAACCTCTCATTTGCCTTCCCTACTGGGCCTTCGGTCAACACTTGCAAACTCTCAGACAGCTGGCTGTGTATTAAAGTCTATTTATAACAGCAATGGACAAGTGATTGTTTGTGGGGAACGGTCATTTCTGCTTTGGAGGGCAATGGGGGCAGCTCTTCTGTGCCCCATGGGTTCAGCTGCTGAATGCTACAGCCGTTGCCTTACTAGGCCTTCTATATTCTGTGGGTTGATGTTGTCAGTGATGCTGATGGGCATTTCAAATTCAGCAGAGGCCACAGGAACTTCATGACAGGGTCTTGGGGGTAGTGCCACAGAGCAGGAAACTAACATTTTGTGTGGAATGGAGAAGTGCAAGAATGCTCATAGCATTCATGCTTATAATCGACATGAAAAATATCTACATGAAAACAGATTATTTTTGTCTTATAGATCCAGCTAAAGTATAACCATATGCTTAAAAAGTCCCATTCTAGGCCTTTAGATATTTTTAAACTTCAGAAGTTTTTTTCTTCAATTAGAAAACAACAATTTTTGACAAAACTAAAATGTGCTAGTCATGAATAGGCAGTAAAGTAAAAAATGCAAATGGGAAAAATATGTTTGGATTAGTCGAGATGTTTTACATGTATTTTTCTTTTTCAGAAGAATATTTACTTGATGGTATGGAAAATATTCATTTTATAATCAGTGGAAAAAACAAGTTTTATGGTATGTAAGAAAAGAAAATAACTACAATTATGCATACCTATCTGTTCATAGAAAAGGAATAGATATAGACAGGGAAAACTCTGGTTGTCAGACTTTTGGCAGATTTTCAGTTAGATCAAATTGTTATAAATTTAATTATTACACAAGTTTTTTCTACTAAAAATAGATTTTTTTCATATAATATATTCTGATTATGGATTTCTCTCCCCTAGCTCCTCCCAACTCCTCCTTTGTCCCTAATTAGAAAACAGGCATCTAAGGGATTAAAATAAAATAATAAGATAAAACAAAAATAAATCAGACTAGGACAAAACAGAAAAACTGCAAGAAACACAGACAGATGTAGAGACAAACATGTTCATACACACAGGAATCCATAAAAGCACGAAACTGGAAGCCATACTATATTCACAAAGGACCTGTAAGGTTTTTTTTTCTTTAAAAAGTAACCCCCCCCACACACACACACCATGAGATAAAGAGACAAAGAACCTAAGATGCTGAGTTTGTTTTCTGGTGGCCATATTCCTAAGGGTTGTTTGTTTCTCCGGTGAGATTCCTTGGAGAAAACGAATTTTTCCTTTGCCAGTGGTTACCGGTGGAGCTGGCTTCTGGGCTAGGGACGGGTGTGTATGCCCACTTCTCGGAGCTCTAGGACCCCATCTAGTGCAGACCCGGGCAGGCCCATGCATGCAATCTCTGTGCGCTCACATGTACATCTTCGGTAGCATTTTGTTTAGAAGGCCTTGTTTCCCTGGTGTCCTCCATCCCCTCTGGCTCTTACAATCTTTCTGACTTCTCTTCAGTAGGATTCTCTGAGCCCTGAGGGGACAGACTTGATGGAGACATCCCATTTATGGCTGAGTACTCCAAGGTAGGTTTTTTTTTTTTTAACTAGCTCTAACTGAAGTGTGAGGTCTTCATACTTTTCTCCAGCTTTTTAGAAGACAGAATAAAATGACATTTCATTGCAAAATAATACATTCAAGTTTTAACATTAGAAAAGCCTAAAGAACAATTGAAATGATCGATATCCCCATATTCAGATAACGTTTGTTACAGTAAGAGTCTGTCATTTGCATATGGTTAACAAACTTAATGGAAGAGTTTTAAGCTGACCTTCAAGTGAAAATGACTAGGATCATCTTTCATAATTGCCAGATTAGAAGAGATAGCAGCACACATGAACTCAAGTAAGTAGAATCCATGTTCAGGGAGGAATTTTGCACAAGAATACTTAGATGATGACTGATTTCTCTGTTTCCATCTCATCTGTTGAGTCTTGGTGTTATCACATCTGCATCACTGTCTTCACATCTTCAAGGTCAAATCAAGATGGTTTGGGGTGACTTTTAAGAGTAAGAAATAAGTTTTGAAAGCTTAAGGATTTCAGATTCTCAGTCCCCCTTTTTCTTTAAATCACTTCATTTTTAATGAACCCACAATCGAAAACATCATACATCTAGATTATGGTGGACACCACTCACTTTTGAAGTTCATGATTACATTTTTGTTTCCTTGTTTTGTATGTGCGCTTGCGTGAACATCTGGGAGCACATGTAGAGGCAGGGGCAACTCTGGAAAGCCATTCTTCTTCCACCATGGGGGTCCCAGGGCTGGAACTCAGATGCCATGTTTGGCACCAGGCAGCTTTTCCTGCTGAGTCATCTTTGCTTTGCTTTTCAAATCAGTAAATTATGGCTAAGTCCTTTATGTATTTAGTCTGTGTACACAATGCAGTAACTTCTTGAAACACACCATACACACACATACACAGGAAATATGTTCATATTTTCCTGTTTTGGAGCATATGGGAAGCAAAATAGAAAAGAAGTAACCTTGTGTGCAGATGTGGGGCTGAGTTCCAGAGGCAGCAGTGGGAGCCTCCTCTTGGGCTTGGGCCTCTTGGAGGAGGTTGTGTCCTTGGGTACTTCTTGATCGATTGCATCCACAAAAAGGAGATTAATGATGAGGACTGAGTGGCAGAGCCAAAGCCCTGTCAAGGGGACCTCTCACAGCATCATAGTGGTTCTGTTCTCAGCCAGGGCGAGGTCTTGGATTCTTCTCAAATGCAAATTTGAGAAAGGCCCCGCAGAGTCTGGACTTAGCTTCAGGTTTCTGAGGAGATCTTCATCTTTATCCCAGGTTCCCACATACAGGCAGAGAGGAAGTTGGGCTGTTTGAAGGTTTCCTTCGGGCCATGTCATGTCAAGCTGTCAAAGATGGGAAGAGAAAACCATTAATTCATCTCAAAAGCTCCTTTCTGTGGGTTTTATTGGGGGAAAAGAAACATTCTACAGTGGCCAATGCCTCTGTGAGTTTCAAGTGTAAATCAACAACCAAAATGAGACGATAAAGTATCAAAGAGGCCAAATGAAGTTAGCAGTTTTGGTTCTATTCCAAAGAGATTTGATTTTTTTAAAATTATATTTTAAGGTTAGCATACACCATGGTGTTTATGGTGTTGGGAATTGAACCTTGCACATATTAGGGAAGCTTGCTCAACCAGTGACTTATATTATTAGCCCTGAGAAGCTAGTATGTTGGGAATTGTTGATTCACAGACATAGAACACACGGAAGGTCTTAGTCAATGGAGACAACAATGAATTTCAAGCAATTAATTAATTAAATCACCTTGTAGCTTGTGTGTGTGTGTGTGTGTGTGTGTATGCACACATGAGAGAGAGACAGAGACAGAGAGAGAGAGAGAGAGAGAGAGAGAGAGAGAGAGAGAGAGAGAGAGAGAGAGAGAGCATGGAGGCCAATGTTAACATCTGTTGTCTTCCTGGACTACCCTCCACCTTGCTTTTTGTGATAGGGTCTCTCACTGAACCTGGAGCTCATTGGTTGGACTGGGCCAGTTGACCAACCAGCTGCAGGGACCAGCCTGTGGTCTGTGCTCTCCAGCTCTGGGGTTACTAGTGAATGCCATCATTCCTGGCTTTACACATGGGTATGTGAAAGGATAATAAAAACCTAGAGACAGTTATTAGGTTCAAGCTGAAGATAAAAAACAAACAAACAAACAAACAAACAAATAAATAAAGCAGCTAACCACTAGAGAGTTCTCACCTCTACCAATGCTTAGACTGAAGGGGCAATCCACTGAACCTCAGATTGTGCTGTTCTCCATCAAACCTCTGACTCCCCTGTACTGAGTTCCTGTCTTATATTTGTCCCAAGTGCTAGGATCAAAGGTGTGAGCTCTGTTTCTCTTTTATACTGATTCACTTTAATGTAGCTCAGGGTGGCCTTGAACTCACAGAGATCCATCTGCTTCTCTCTCCTAAGTGCTGGGAGTAAAGGTGTGGCCACCACTGCCTGTCTGTGAGAAGGAGATCAGGCACAGGATTCATAGGTAGGGTGTTTTTAGGAATGATGATGGATGGTGAGCAGGGGGTTATGTACCCCGCCCCCAAATTCTTATTGTAACCATGGAGAAAGAGGTTTCCTATGCCTCCTGATATGATGGATTGGGTGCTGCTTCCATAAAGCCTTCTAGGAAACTTTGAAAGGAAGGTGGGTCATTCAGGAAAGAGACTTAAAGTCATCCATGAAGGGGTAGAGGTTAGGAGAGAGAGAGAAGACAGAAGAACCAACCTAGGATGGGAGTTGGGTAGACAGAGTAGAAATGCCTGGGGTGGGGTGAGGAGGTCATCAGTTCCACACAGAATCAACATGGAGGCATTCCTTTTAAAGATGAGGGTCCAGATCTAAGGCAGTGTCACCTCCATCACATTCTACACCTGACAGCAGTCTCAAACCAACCTTGAGTCAAGGATGAGAAGAGGGAATAGAGTCTCCAAGGAAAAGTGGCATGTGCTTTTAGAGAAGGTGACAAAGATTGGCAGCCATCTTTGGAGTCCAGATCATTTTTGAAAATGTATCGAAGTATAGTTTGATAAAATTTCATAGACCGTTGACATTTCCTCTTAAAAGATTCTAGAGAAGGTAATCTTGTTAATGTCTCTTTAAGGAGAAGCAGAAGTAGCCTGTTGGGGTCGGCCCTTCTCAAGAGAACTAGAGTGCTATGTGAAGTCACAGCTGGGATGGAATGCTCACAGGTGAAAAAGTTCCTGACTGCTGAACGACTAGTTACCCTCAGGCAAACACTGAACTCCCCATTCCCTGAAGTTCAGCTCTGGCTGTCCCTGTCCAGTTCAGACCTCCAGGGCCAAACCACACCATGAGCAGAGAAGCCAGGAAGTAAGGTATGGAGAATACTCGGTCAGCCCTGAAAGGAACATGGCTGGAGATGCCACTGCTGGGAACTGATCAGAGACGTGACTGAGAGGGCTGAGGGGAAGGAAGAAGGAGGTGTTGGACAAAGAGAACTCCAACCCACCTTAAAGATATAACATATCTGTGGTGCTTAGCAGCATGGGGCACATGCCAGTTATGACCATTACTGTTTCTCCTGGGTAAGATTAGAGCAACCAGAAATAACACTGTGGCCTCCACAGAAACTAACAGGGCTATTGCAAGGCTCCGGGTTGTTTCGGGATCAGGACAAAGGATTTCTGTCTATTCTCCACACATCTCAGATGCTCTATTGCCCTTCTCACGAATCTCTTGAGAGTCTCAACTACCACTGGCCCCCCTCTCCCTGGCAGTGAGCCTTCCCTGAACCTCCATCGTGGTGCCATTCATGACGGTTAGATGCATGTTGCTCTGCTCAGATTTAATACAAGGTTCTTAGGAACCAGTGAAGGTCTGGGTAAGCTATGGCCCTTCTCTGCCCCTTAGTTCCTTGCCTATAAAAGGAAGATTTAAAGGAACTCTCCTCCTTAAGTGAGGAATGAAAGAGTTAATTCACATAGAATTAACTGTGGCCTACAGCATGCACTCAAGAAGCGTTGGCTATTTTAACTTCCTGTCAATTTTTTAAAAGCGTATTCTTTTTGAGATTAAAGGACACTTAATTTTTTCAGAGTGGTTTTAGGTTTATAGCAAAGTGTAAGAGAAGGGAGAGAGTTTCACGCGGCAAGACCCCTGTTTATAGCTTACTTTTCTGTAGCCACTCTGCCTTGGTTGTACATTTGTTACAGTCAGCGAATACACATTGCCACATCAGATCATCAAATCTGATTACCACATCTTAGTTGGCACCGAGGTTCATGTTTAGTGTTGTCTGGTCTATTTATTAGAACAATATATAATGACATTTACCATGACAACATTATGTAGAGCAGTTCCCTTGCCCCAATCCCTGTGTTCCTCAATTATCACTTATTCTCCACTTGCCTACAATTACAAATGACGTTTCTTACGTATGTTTAGCTCCCTCTTCTAAATTAACCAGAATGTGCTTCTGTGCACAGCACTTGGCAAATGCACAATGAATTGGTAGAGGAGATGAATAATCAAGTTAGACCCATGGATAGAGGTTAAAGACTCAAACTTAGGTCAGTTTGTATTTTCTTTTTTTTGTTTTTTTGAGACAGGGTTTCCCTGTGACTTTGGAGGCTGTCCTGGAACTAGCTCTTATAGAACAGGCTGGTCTCAAACTCACAGAGATCTGCCAGCCTCTGCCTCCTGAGTGCTGGGATTATAAAGGCGTGCACCACCACAGCCCGGCAAGTTTGTATTTTCTTTTCAATATATTTTTAATGTTTACCACACTTTCTCCATTTAGTATACTATTCATATTATTTTTATACATTATATTCCAGAAGGAAATACTAGGGGTGGTTTTGTGCATTTTAAAAAGGTGTTCCTTTGCTTTCACCTCCTTAACTAGTTCATACTCCTGGGTACTTGGCCCGGGTCCCTCTGTTGGCAGTAAGCCCTGTGCTATGTGTGCCAGTTAGTGCCTCAGTTTCCCACCGGTGTCTGTGCTGGGTAGCAGTGAAGGCATAGTCTGCATTCCTCCCAGCTGTGCAAACTTAGGCAAGAGACTCACTTCTCAGGGTCTGCTTTGTCTTACACAAAGTGGGTACGGCAGTAGTGACACATTCCGGGGAGACTAGTGAGGACTGTCTCCACCAACACACATAAAATGGTGTTGACTGACATGAGAAGTCATGGGTGTTGGCTCTTGTTTCTATCGTATGTTCAGTCAGCCCAGGGATGGTTCTGTGCCAACGAATGACTGCTGGGAACCTTATTGTTTCTTGTCTTTTTAATGGCCATTCCGAAATGCTGAAGAAATGCAATTCTAGGGGGGAAATATTTTTTGTTTTCTTTTGTTTTTTGACTACAGCACTAACTTTCAGGTTGTCTTTTGAACTCAGCTCTCTAACAATGAGCACATAGAGAAGACAGAGGCTTCCAGCTCTGGTTACAAGCTAAGTTAGAAATGGCAGCTGCTTCCTCCCGTTGTACTCTTGGTTCCCCTCTTAGTAGTGCTTTGGTTTGCATGTGAGATGCCCTCCACAGGGTTATGGCTTGAAGGCTTGTTCCCAGCTAGCGGCCTTGTTTTGCAGCCTCTGGAACTTTTAGGAGGTAGGCTCTGGCTAGTGAAAGTAGGTCACTACGGGTGGACTTTTGAAGGTCTACCTGTCTTTGGTTCCTGTCCTATTCTTTCTGCTTCCTAGCCTGCTATGAAATGAACAGGACTCCATATTCTCCCACTGTTGTGACTTCCCCATCATGATCCACCACAACAAACCCTCTGAAACCATGAGGCCAAATAAATCTTCCCTGCTTTGTTTCTGTTCGGTGTTGTGGTTATAGTGACTAGGAAATAGCAAAAACAAGTAGCAGCAGTAGAAATGTAGCAATCCAGACAGGACCTAGAGTTGCCTCCCTGCAGAGTGCTTTTGACTGGGTTCCTATGTCCCTGGCCAGTTTCCCAACCAGGGGATAAGTCACTTGTGCGTCTTTATCACTAGCTATATTTCCAATATTGCTGCTTTCTAAGCAAGAGGCAAAGCCGAAGCCAAGCCCTAGTCAGGGCCTCTTAAGTTGTTATGCCTGTGTGAGTCTAAGACTTTCCCCAGAGTTTTGACCCTGAGTAAAGTTTGATTTAATCAGTATTTAAAAATCTGAAAACAAAATAATCCTGTCCTTAAGAAATGGTTGGTTCTGGCTGTAGGAATGGCTCAGAGGTTAAGAGCACTGGCTGCTCTTCCAGAAGACCCTAGTTCAATTCCCAGCACCCACACGGCAGCTCATAACAATCTGCACTTGCTGCACTCCAGGGGATCTGAAACCCTCGTTTGACCTCTGTGGGCACCAGGCATGAGTGCGGTACATAGACATACATGCAGACACCCCCCTATCATCAGCAGCAACAACGTCATCACCATCACCACCAGCTAATACTTTTAAAAAAGAAGTGGCTGGTGTGTTCTTGTGCCTAGTGGGTTTCGTTTGATCAGCAGATGTTCTTGGGCAGCTGTGGAGCTCTAGGCACTGAGGCAGTTACTGAGGATCCAATGGCAAACAGGCCAGGGCAGCCTGTTCCCCTGGAGCTTCTTGTGTGGACAATAATCAAAGCCAGGCTTGTGAATCACTCATGCCCAGTGTCTCAGCCACTTTGCCGTAACACCCCCAAACTGTTTTTATAACTCCAGGCCAAATGGCAACCAGGAGTTTCTAGTCTACTCTTTTCCCTTCCCTCTTTGCCAACCCCTATTTCTGACTCCCTTGCCACCCCAACTTCCCATTTAAAATCTGAAGGTGGTACTTCTGGCTGATGGATATATCAAAGAGGAAATGGTGTGGATCCTAAAGAGAGGGACTATGTATGTAAATAAGTAAGTGGTTCCCATGGCTATGGAGGACCAGAAGAGTCAAGATCTGTATCTGGCGAGCTGGAGGGAGACTGGGAACCCTTGGTGACACAGCCCCTGTCTAAGTCTGTGGGCCTGGGAATCAGGAGAGCCAGGCCAGTGTAAATGTTCCAGACTGAATTGGAAGTTAGCACAAGACAAATGCTGACTCAAAAACACACAGAGAAAACACATCTCTCTTATCCTCTTTTTATCACTCAGTTCTTCAGTGGATTGAATGGGATCTATCCACATTAGGGATAGGAATCTGCTTTACTTTGTTTATTGGTTCAAATCCTACTGTCCTCCAGAAGTACTTTCACAGGCATAGAATAATGTTTAACCAACTATTTGGGTACCAAGTACCCAGGTCAAATTGGCACATACCATTATCCCTAACAGTGGAACTTAGGTCAGGTGTCCAAGCTAGTAGCAAGAGAGGCTGGAAACATTAAGTATCTGGCCTTTTAAATGTACACAACAGTGGAATGTGTTCTTTGTCTTAATACGAGGGATTCCTAAAATCTCCAAAAAATTAATTAGCTAATTTTAAAAGGTGAGATATTCATAGCTAAAGAGTGGCAACTTTTTTTTTCAGACTACAACCCTGATTACAAATCTAGGACAGTCTTGGCAACACTTTGGCTGCTACAATGTTGATTTAAAAAAAACTTTCAGAAAGCAAGCTGATGGGGTGAGAGAGCACTGAGAATTCCATTCTCCTGTGAGTATCTAATTATTTCTACACTGGAGCAAATGCCATGGACTGAAATTTTTTCATGGGAATTCAGGCCCCACTCTCTTTGGCAGTGAGTCCTAACTATTTTTGGAAGTTGGAAAAAAATGCAGAGAATCTGGTTTACTCTTGGTCATGTACAGTAATGTTATTTTTGTGTATCTAGGACAATGACATGGCCAATGCTTGTTTTTAATTGGCTTTCTTGGGACGTAAGGGTGGGCTAAGATATCCAGAAGAAGGCAGAAGGAACACAATTGGCTCAGATCTTGTCCCATTGGTCTGTACTCGCTCACAGGAATCCCTTTTCCCTGAGTGTCTGGAATGGCTTCCCTGGAGAGCCAGGCTGCTTTCTGGCTTTCTGTCCATTCGGCTATAGCCGGTTTGTTCTCTAAGAGTTGCTGGGAAATGCTCAACCTAAGAATCAGGACACTAGCAATTGAGTTGTAGCTGTGTCACCTAGTCACTCTGCTGTTGGGCAAGTTGTTTAGGCATTTAGAGTCTGCTTCTTTTTTGTTTCTCTTTTGGGAAGGCAGGGTCTTGTGAATCTCAGTTGCTTTATTTATGAAAGAAAGTATTTGATGGAATGTTTCCTAGTCAGGATGCCTTGGGATGTAAAACAGAATGCCCAAATAAAAATGGTTTTAAAAATAAGAAATGTGCCACACACAAAATCTTGAACTCAGTCTTGCAATGGTGGCACATGCCCTTAACCCCAGCACTTGGGAGGCAGAGGCAGGTGGATCTCTATGGGTTCAAGGTCAGACTGCTCTACAGAGTGAGCTCCAGGACAGCCAGGACTGTTAAATAGAGAAACCCTGTTTCAAAAAACAAAGAATGCTGGACTTTTGAGTTATTTCAGGGGTCAGTCCATGGTTCAAGGATGAGCAACATGGGCTCTTTTGTTCTTTTGTTTGATGATGCTGTCATCTAGCATATTGGTGGTGTCTTACTTTGGGTCAGATGACTACCATAGTTATAGACATCAAGAGTAGGTGAGAGAATATCACAGAAGGGGAAAGGAACTTCTTCCTTGTGAGTACTTTTATGAAGAAAAATTCTGGGTTTCTAGTTTCTAGATCCCATGCCATTGTCTCAAAGGAAGACAAGAAAATGATGATTATGATCTGAAATCTCTGTTAGTGAACTGGGAACACAGAACTGCAGAATCCTTCCTTCCAGCTTCCAACATCTTATTTGTCTATGGTTCTTAATTTGCATCAGTGAAGGAAAGGGTCAGGGTTGGGCACTGGTGTTGGTGCTTGCATGACTCTGGAAAGGTAAACATCAGTAGCCTTCTCCCACGAAAGTTTATACACAAGGTGACATGAACAATACTTTCCACAACCTCCTTCATGGCATGGGAGTTTAATGAATATGGTCCCCATAGGCTCTTGTGTGTGGCACTGTTTGGAAAGATATGTGGCCTTGTTGGTTCAGTGAGGCCTTGTTGGAGGAAGTATGTCACTGGGGTGGGCTTTGAGGTTTCAGAAGTTCAAGCAAAGCGCATTGTCTCATAATGCTCTCTCTTCCTGCTGCCTGCCGATCTATGCATATAACTTCAGCTACTTATCTAGCAACATCCCACCATGATAATAATAATGACTAACTCCCTAGATGTAAATCAGCCCCAATTAAATGTTTTCATTTATAAGAGTTACCATGGTCATGGTATCTCTTCACAGCAACAGAGACCCTAAGACAATGGGGGAATATTCAAATAATCTGAAGTGGGGGGGGGTGATTGTACTTCATAGCAACACAGAAACATAGATATAGCAGATACTTGCATTCTGTTATGTTTCTTTTCTATCTCTTCCTGTACTGTATTTTCGTCATGTGACAAAGTTGGAAGAATACCATGTACCCCAAACACAAGTTGGGTTCTCAGAAAGTAGACCCAGACATCCAAGAGGTGCGGGAGACTGGAGGATAAATATTGCAGTGCAATTCTTCCAATGGAACTTGTCACAAATCCCTTGTGGCATCTTTCTTGTTACTGTCTGAAATGTGTTTGAGCATTTGGAATTTTTGAATTTGGGATGCTAACCCAGCAAAGACCATGCAAATATTCCAGACTTTAAAAATGCTTAGAAACTTGAAAAATGCCGAAACACTTCTGGCCAGACACTTTTGAATAAGGGATACTCGTTCTAATTTACAAAGACTGTTCAGAACAGTAGCTTCAAGAGAAAGGCTCAGCCATGATGGATGAGGTAGAGATCAGGCCCTGTCATTTGTATATCCCCTTTGGTGGTTTACATGATGTAATGCACTTCAGAAACACTAAATAAACATTTCTCAAGATGTCTTCAGGATAAGTTTGACATCCTTTGTGGAAATGGCCTATATATGTTTCCGGTGCAACAAGGACTATGTACTCATTTTAGATCATACTTTTGATTCTCTTTTCTTTCTTTTCTTCTTCTTTTTTTTGGTTTTACGAGACAGGGTTTCTCTGTATTGTTTTGGAGGCTGTCGGTCCAGCCTAGCCTCGAACTCACAGGGATCCGCCTGCCTCTGCCTCCCGAGTGCTGGGATTAAAGGCGTGTGCCACCACTGCCAGGCTGCTTTTGATTTTCTATCAATGATAAATGTTTGGGAATTACTTGACAGAGCAGTGTTGGATTTTTACCAGTCTCACTCAATGGCTAGACTGCCTTTTAGCAAATCCCAAAGATTGCCAATTGCCACCTCTAAGTGGGTGGTGTTATAGGAATATTCATCTTAGGTCCTCTTGCTTGCATAGCAAGCATCTTACTAACTGAGCCTTCTCCTCACATTTAGACTTTCCCTTTAAAACTATATTTAAATCTGAACTTGTGGGGCCCAAAGCAGTGGCGGGTGAATCTGTAGATGTTTTAATGCAGATCAGTCCCTGATGGTACTAGTTACCATCGTCTTCTTCACTGCCTGCAACTGATATACTTTTTAAAGATTCTGATGATGGTGTAGGAGCTCCATTTTTCTGTGAGAGAGGTTATATTGAAGAAAGACATAATAATATCATTTTATTTGGGGAATAGTGTATTTACTTGAAAGAATGATTGACAAGCCATGACTACTAAGATCTGGGTATCTGGCAGATATTTTCTCCCAGAAAGATACAATGCTGCGATTCCAAGAAGAACAACCGTAGTATATTTGTGAATGTTAAAATCTGGGATTTCAAACAAAAATTACAGTTCTAATACACTAACTCTCACCATGAGATGAAGCTTACCAAATACCTAAAGGGTTTTCTGAGCTCAGTGTTCTAATAACAAATATTAACAGCGTCTGCTAAATTATTGATATGTGACAAATATAATTTATTGTTTGTAAATTAATGTCTCAGTAATTGGAAAATATTCATAACCAGAGACTTAATATTTTCTAATAGACATAGATTACATGCATACATACATAGTTAACATAGTAAAGGGTTCATTCAAAGTATGTGAATGGCTTTTAATTTAACTGTGAAAACTTCATGGATACTGTTTAGATACCATGTTATAGTTAATTTTAAAGAACTATTACTGAAGTCTTGTGTAGTATCAAAAAGGCATATTCACAATTATCTGAAGAGGTTATTGAAATGCTCCTCTCAAACATAGACTAGTAAGCTCTAGTAATCTTTAACATATGCAACCATAGTTCATAATATCCTATTACTTAGTTTATGATTAGTTGAAGACAGTAGTTTAAAATCTCCAAATACAAAGTAACAACATAACTTCCAACTGCCCAGATTTGATTATTACACACTATACACATATATTGATCACCATTTTATCCCATAAATATGTACACTTAAAACAATTATTTTGAAAAATAGATGTATTATGAACTGTATTCTCTCAGTGAGTTGAACCTTTTCCCTAACTGAGCATACTCTAGTAAAGTACTTATCCTTGGCATAAAAAACAAAACAACAAAAAAATCCCAAAATAAAATAAAGCAAACAAAACCACTGGTGTTGGTAGCATACACCTTCAATCTTTGCATTTCGGAGGTAGAGGCAGGAAGATACCTGTGAGTTCAAGACCAGCCTGGTCTATATAGTGAGTTCCAGGACTGCAAGAGCTACACAGAGAAACCTGGTCTGAAAAACCAAAACACCAAAACAAACAAAAAACCCCAAACCAAAAGCAAAAATCCAAGTCAAAAGTAAAATCCTAGCTATGTATGGTGGCATGTATCCTTAATTTCAGCACTCAGGAGGCAGATCTCTGTGAGTTCCAGATTTTCCCTTCCTTTTTCTCACTTACCCCCTTCTATGTCTCCCCTCACTCCCTCTCAAACTGATTGCCCTTTTAGTTTAACACACACACACACACACACACACACACACACACACACACACACAGAGCAAATACAATCTGCGAGTCTGTTTAGTATTGCTTGTGTGTATATGATTTCAGGGATGCCCTCTTTGTGTTGGATAACCAATTAGGGGGCTCATACCTGGAAAGACTAATTTCCCCCCATTTTAGCGGGCATTAGTTGCCTATAGTTCTTTCTAGGGGTAGACCCTGTGAGATTTCCCTCTTACACATTAGCATGCCTGTTGTCATTGCTCAGGTCTTGTTTTGGCAGCCTTATTTTTGAGGTATCCTGGGTAAAACTTTTCTATCATTTCTAGATGACACAACCTTATAGAACACTTCCTGGTTGTCTGGCTCTTAAAGTCTTTCTGACTCCTTTTCCAAGATACTCTAGAGTCTTAGGTGCTAGAGCTGTACTGTGGACACATCCACTGGGGCTGGGCACTCCATGCTCAGTTGGTGTCTGCATTATAACCAGTTTGGTTTTCTATAATGATCTCTGTCTAGTAAAGTACTGATAGTCGGTTCTCTTCTAATATCAATGACCTCACTAGTCCTGGGTGGTTGGCTAAGTTTCCAGCACCAGCCATGATTTCCTCCCATTAAGTAGGCCTTTAATACAATTAAATAGCCATTGGTTACTGCCAAGGCGGGCATGCCACTATTGTACCTGTAGAT